ATTCTCGGTGCGGGTTTTAAATTAAGGTCTCTGTCTGCTGGATCGTATTCGCCGCCTTGCCTGTTACTCCTGTTTCTTTAGTTCTCCCTGAAGCCCATTGATGCAGTCGGGTTTGAAGGATTATTTTAAGGATCAATTAAAGGAATCTGATACAAAAAGGCTGATTGTGTAGCTGCGCCTTTATAAGTTCTACCCAAACATCCAACACATTATGGATATCAATACACTTTTATTACTTTTAACACTGTTTCTTTGTCGTCTTTGACTCGTGGCTCGTTCCTGCGCGGTGCCGTGATCTTCAGGACTTCCTTTGAGGGTTTGAACCGGTCGTGTTTGGTCTCACATGCAGATGAGGGTCTGAGGAGCCTCGAGGCCCTTCAGTCTGCAGCTGCAGCCGAGATCAGAGCGAACCGGCTGCAGGTCAGACAGAGACGCTGCTCTGTCCCACTGAATTAGGTCAGCTGGGTCTCAATGCCATCATTATACACACACACACACACACACACACACACACACACACACACACACACACACACACACACACACACACACACACACACACACACACACAGCGTGAGAAGTCCACAGTCGGGTCAATCCACTGAATTGACCAGGAACTAATTGACTGATGTGACCCTGCAGGAACAGGGCTAGTCTACCAGGATACCAGGAAACTTGGGCTAATTAGATCACAAATAAAAACTTAAAAACAGCCTATTTTTTCCTATTTTTTAGTATTTAGGTTCAAAATGTTGAAAGAGTTCGTGTGTTTTCACCAGTTCATCTAGCTGTACAGTTTTAATGAAAACCAAAGCTTGAAAAACTTTTTTAAAAACTAATTTATTAACATTTTATTAATGCAACACTAGTCTGTCTTCATTTTAATTAATTTGCTTTCATTTATTTTATTGTTGTACTTTATTTTTATTCTCTACTTTATTACCTACTGTTGGTTCTTTTTACACATTGTAGCTGTGTTTTAAAAAGTGATTCGCAGTGTGATTCAGCACTAACTTTCCGGCCTCTGCGTGTGGAATGTACTGTTGTAGTCAAAGTGTATCTGTGCACATCTTTTGAATCAAGTTCAGTTATGTGAACTTTGACATGCTAATTTCCACCGCTGACCAATAGCAGGTTGGGAACAGGAGTGAGTACAGACTGGATGCTGCAGTGACTCACTGTCGCCTCTTCAGGTACACAGTGGTGTCTCTGGGTTGCTACCGTGTTAGCAGTTAGCTCGCCACAGAGAGTCACAGAGACGACATGTAACGCAGATTTAAAAACACAACACACAGAGAACACTTGAAATTCTTACATGGAATCTCAGTAAACACAAATGTGCCGACATCTTTGTTTTTTGCTTCCTGCGTGCGGTTTGTTCTGTCAGTGATAATACTGACTCCAAATAAAACTTAAAGGAAAAAAAATCCAAAATCTGTTGCACTTAGAGACACTTCTGTCTCCTCCTGCCATATTCTGTGACTTAGACTGAAAACTGAAGTGCAGCTTAATGTATTTGTGAAAGACTTGTCCAGGCAGGGAAGAATAGCGTCATGTTGAATCACATCAGGTTACCTTTTCACTTAACTCAGCAATTTTGTTGAACTGATCATCTTCCCTTTGTTCCACTCTGCGTCTTTGCTCAGTTTAAAGCTCAGGTTTCCAAGGCTCGGGGCTGGGACTCCACATGCACAGAAACAGTCGGGGGAGAGTCCCTGCATTGACAGATGATCATTTACTCATTTGGAGCTCTATCCAGGCTCTTAAAAATCCCTCTAAATGAAGCAGTGGCAGCTGGGTAGGACTACTGAGGAAGATCTAAACAAACAAAGCTTTAACTTGAGAATAAAAGCTAGAGAAATACAAACAGGGGCAGTGTGACTTTTAATTAAATTCATAGTGTATGACTTCATTTGAAGTGATATTAAAATGATTAAAAAGTAAAAACCAATGAAACTGTAATTGACTGAATTATGGTTTGTGGCTGGTGAGTCGTCACTGATACAACGTGAACTCTCTGCACTTCGTTGAGTAAAGTTGTATCACATTTGAAAATATCTTGAAATATTCGTATAAAACCAAAATTTTTAGCTGCAACTCTTGGCGTAAATGGGACTTTTAACACTTTATTTTAGTGGCACTGACTCCTAAAATCCTGTGGCACTGCAGAATTATTCCCTCTAACTGCTGTGGTAGAACAGGAGCATGAAAAGGTCAAGAAACACGGACTCGCAGCTCCTGTGGAGACCTGCCCAGGCAACACTGGCGCCAAAATGTTCAAATCACGCAGGTCTGGGAAAGTCATTTTATTCTGGAGAGCTACTGTAGCTCCATGAAAGTGCACATTTTGTGCCTATCTTTGGTCTTTTGTTAATGTCCTGCAGCGTTAGATTTTGTAGGAACCATGCCAGAGTGCAGCTTCGGAGCATGTTTGACTCATACGAACCTTAGTCTGGTTTTCACCTTTCACCATATTTCTGTAGAACAACCTTCTCCAGAGAGCATTTTCCTGCCACTAGGAACATAAACACAGTCACTGTGAAATATATCAGCCTTTAAAGCACACTGAACCTATGTGGTGCCTCGGTGATGTATTTCCCATTGCCCTGCTGGCTGATGGGAATTCAGCCTGGACTGATACAGAAGTATAACACCTTGTTTCTCAATGGAGCTCAGCAGAGAGGAGGAGACGAGGTGAGAAGAGAGGAGGTAACACCTCGTCTGGAGGTGAGAAGAGGGGAGGAAGAGGATGAGGAACGGAGTGAAGAAAAAGAGGAAGGATGGAAATGTAAGAGAGGAGAGCGGAGGATGATGTGTGAAGAGAGAGGAGTGGGAATGATGGAGAGAGATGGTGTGAAGGAGGACAGGAGGAAGAGTGAAGAGGAGATGGTGTTTGGAGTGAGAGGAGGTTTAGATCTTCAACAGAAAAATGGCTCGAAGCATTACTGATGAACCGTACCGGGTAGAGGCCCAGGGGCCCCGAGGGCAGGGGTAAAGAGAACTCAGTAGATCCTGTCAGTATCAACAACAGAGCCTCGAAATGTCTTTCTGAAAACCTGAAGGAAAATTCAGACAATTGCTTTAGGATTGTAATGTAGAAAGACCTCCACGATGCAGTCAGACATTTAGACCTTGTGCTCCGTATTGAAACCAGTGAACACAATGAAAGCCCTCTGAAGAAACATTTGAACAGACAGTTGACAGAGATGGAGGTTGAAGGCAGACAGAAACTGTCCAGTACAACACTCGATGAGAAGGAGAAGGTGCAGCATCATCACCTAAAGTCGGGTTGACTGTGGACACGAGGGGTCCACAGGAGTGTAGATACATACAGTGACTACGGTGAGGTTGAAATTAGTTTTATTTCATGTGTTGATCTCGCCCCCACAACACTAAATGGATGTATCACACGAGATCCGTCCGAGTGACGGTGAGGAGATTTCTGAAAGAAGTGTATTAATTATTTACTTTAAGGACCAGTGTGGAGGATTTAGTGGTATTTAGCGTGAAGTGGCAGATTGCAACTCCTTTTGCTTTTGTTATTTATTATAAATCTAGCTTAAGTTCTTTGCTTTGAGCGCTTTGGCCTCTAAAGAACAAATCAATACAGATAGAGCAGAGTTTAAACAGTAATGTCCAGCAAGGAACAATATATCACCACAGTGATGTAGAATCCTAAAAGTACCTACCTGATGCGTTCTGAGACCCTGCTCACAGAAACCTTTTATAAGTCTTCACTCAGACGGATTTAGAAATCTCAGCAGCCGGTCTTTGAGTCCATCTTCAACAAACCACCATGATCACATATATAGTAATACATTCTTAAATGATGGTCATTTTGTGCTGTGATGAAGAGTAACTCGACCTGAGGAGGCTGAAGAGAGGGAAGAAAAGGAGAGATCAGGTGAGAGGAAGATGTGTAAAAGAGATACGGAGAGGAGGAAGGAAGGAGGACGTGTAGAACGCAGAGGAGAGAATGAGGTGTCAGTGGTGCAATGCAGTGCTCACTACCCCACCCCAGATACACACACACACACACACTCGCTCTTATATTGTACTTATGAAGAGTAACTGAGTACACATGAATGAGTCTAAGATACGGATCAAATAAGACCAACTGTCAGATATCAGTTAGAGACAGTATAACATACAAAATCTGAATTGTATTAGTATAAAGTTTAGGTCCATGGTTATCTTCTGATTCTTCATGTGCATTAACACAAACGTGGGCATGTGCGTTGGAGGGTTGTTGGATCTCCAGGCTGACAGGCTGAGGTCTGGTGAACCTTTCCCCAGGAGGGAGTGTTCTGTCTGGGGGAGAGAGAGGACGACCATCTGGTCCCTTCGGGTGCCTGTGGAGCTTCTGCTGCAGCAAACAGGCTCGTTTCCACCCTGCTGGAGTGTCCTTGAGCAAGGGACACGCTCAGAATACCTGTCAGCTACAGGGCTACATGACCTCTGACCTTCTCTGGTCTTCTTTACTTCAATAGAAGTAGCCTTCCTGCAGCCAAAGTCTCAGATAGTGTTAATCAGTTTAGGGAATTGAAAACTCAGAATTACAGTTTACACATGGACTCTGTAACACTGTGGGTTGCATCCAGTTAAAGTAATGGCTTTTTGGCGTTCAAGCGTAGGTCTCCATGATGCAAATGTTCCATAAAGAGCAGGACAGTTGCTTCTAAAACCACAATGTTTGCACAATATTTGGCAGCCGTACATGAACGGGAACAGCTGTCATTCATTTAAAGTGATACATTGTACAAGTGACATTGTCGGTGCATTCACAAAATGAAATCCATGTCTGAAAGGGGCTGCTGAAGTCAGATCAAGGCTTGACTGTGAAATTGGAATAATACTGAAGAATGGGAATTAAAATGTGTTTTTAATCCTGGATTTTTATCAATTTAAGTTTCAGTTCCGAGGAGCTTCCAGTGATCCGCGGCCACTGGTGAAATGTGACTGACAGATTGTCGTCTTCCTCTCTCTGTGTTTGTTGTCAGGAGGGACCAGGGACATCGGTTCAGCCCTCACCAGGATGTGCATGAGGCACCGCAGCATCGAGGCCAAACTCCGCCAGTTCTCCATGTGAGTAGATCTGTGTGTGTGTGTGTGTGTGTGTTGAACAGGTGTAGCTTCTCCTCCCAGCTCTCCATGGCAACCTGCTTCTCCTCTTCCTCCTGCTTCAGATTTTACAGCCTCCATCTTGCTCTCTCCCTGTTCGGTCTTTGATTCCATCTAACCACATTGTTGCACCTAAAATGATTATCCTGATCAATTCTTATGTATTTATTCGTTGCCATTATGAGCCTCAACCATGTGTGCTGCTTTCTTCCCATTTTGCCGCCTCCTGAGAAGGTCACATTCATTCTCTCCATTCACTCGTCTTTAAACTCATTTTCTGAGGCCTTCGCGTCTCTCTCCGCCTCCTGCTGTAACAGCATCCTTTTAGCTTCCTCATCTGTATTTCCATCCTTTGCCGACCCAACTCCTCCTTCCTCCTCCTCCTTCTCATTTTCCTTTCTCTGCATGAGTCCATTAACTCTCCCAGTATGGAGGGAGAGAGTCAGTCAGACAGAAATGAGAAGATGAGAGCTCCAGCTGAGTCAGTAAACAGAGATACTGTATATATGGACAATGTAAACAGGAACCACCTTGGTTATTATGTGATGCATTTACACATACAAACATTCATTTTTTCCACCACAAAGTAAAATATCTCAGATGCCCTTCACGCCAGCCACGTCCTCCAGCTTCGGAGCCACGTTCTCAGGCCGGATGGGATATGTAATCCCTTCATTTTGCCTTCCATTTCCATTCTCCTCATCCTGACAGGGATTATAATACAGCCTGAAAACAGTCCAACAAACGTTGGGCCGCATTGGGTATGAAAACGTCCATATTATGTCCATATTATGTAGATTTCATCAGCTGCCTGTGTGCGTGTGTGGCCCAAAATGTATGACTCACACTGTATGCATCAACAAACAGGATGCCTGCTGTAGTATGAACCGAACTGCATGCAGGTCCAATGTCCATGTCCCTGTCCGGCGTCTCACTCACCCGACAGAAAGACTAGCTTGTGTCTTTTGCCTTCTCTGGCTTAGTTTAGGAACATCTCCAATGCAATTAGTGATGCTTTGAAAGACTGTTGATCTCTATATAATACTAATATATAGGCTATTTATATCTATATTATATATATATATAGATATAAATATATATTAGTTCTGAATCCAAACCTTAATCCGAGCGTCTTTTCAAGAGAATATTATCGATTCAAATCAGGGAGATTAAAAATGAATCGTGATATTCTTTTTAAAAAACAGTCGCTATCTGCTTTTGACTTTGCTTGTTTGATGTCGCTCGCGTCAGCAGACCGTCAGCACAGTTTATACCCCAGACATAAAAATTATTCTATGATTTGATAAAGAAAATATACATTTTGTAGATTTTTGTCTGAGAAGTAAAAGAATCTTTTTCAGTCTTTTTGCTCTCACATTTGCACACATACATCTGGTGTACGCACTTTCAACAGTTATGTCAGTAAGAAGCCTCTCTGGCTAATACACACACACACACACACACACACACACACACACACACACACACACACACTCTGTGACTCCGTGACACTTCGTTCCCTGAGGACTTACCCAAACCTTAACCTTAACCATAACCACTACATGCCTAACTACAGCCCTTACTCTAACCTCAACCGTAAACCAAGTCTAAACCCTGAAATATATGCTCTGACAGTGTGTGTTTGTGTGTGTTCGCAGGGTGTTTCTGGACTGTCTGATCAACCCTCTACAGGAGCAGATGGAGGAGTGGAAGAGAGTAGCCAACACTCTGGACAAAGACCATGCCAAAGGTACGCAAACGTAGAAACACACAGACCACTGAAGACTCACACCGACAGTACACTGTCTCACAAAGGCAGAGAGCAGGAAGTGTGTAACCAGTGAAAGGTCTGAAGGTTGAAGGCTCTCAGCTGAACTGTGTAACAGATAAATAAGCTGTAAAATGCTTTATGTTGATTATTAATCATCATACATAAAACACATTTATACTTACTTACTGCACTTCAGTCTGAAAGGGAAAACACAGTAACACAATGTGTTTCTGTTTCCATTCGCACTAATGAGCCAGTTTAATAAATCCATCCTTAATTAAATACATTTAAATACGTGATTTAAAGGCAGTTTAAACTCATGAACTCATCCACTAAAGTCAGAGTCAGCAGACAGCAGTTACTGACCCCAACCCTTCATGCTCTTTTTTTTTTTTTTCTTTACACTAAATGTTTGTGGTAGTCAGATTCTGCTCTCAACTCAAATATGAAGTTACTGTGTCATTATGTCTGTGTGGCGTTCACGGACCTCTCTATATGCATATCTGATATGTATCTCTGTGAATCTAACCTAAAATGTCTCTATGTATGTGTCTCTGTTAATGTGTCCACACAGTTTCTTTGCCTGCACTGGGAACTGTGTGTTCAACTCTCCGTACATGTGTGTGTGTTTTCTCTACAGAGTACAAGAAGGCCCGTCAGGAGATCAAGAAGAGATCCTCAGACACTCTGAAGCTGCAGAAGAAAGCAAAGAAAGGTTTGCAGTGTCTTCGCTGTTTGGTCACACCGCGATCAAGTGGTTGTCATTTAGGTCTAATCTGTAATAACACTCTTTTGAAAGAGTTGGAAAGCTGGGAATGGTTAACTGTGAGTCATAATTAAACCATTAGTGGTTTTCATGAGATAATTAAGTGGTATTTAAGTGATGTAACATTATGAAGAGGATCTAAAAGTTAATTCCATGTGTTCTGTTTCCTTTTCCCAACAATCTGCCTCCTTCCCTTCCCGTGGTGTCCCAACAATCTGCCTCCTTCCCTTCCCGTGGTGTCCCATCATGCTCTGCTCTGTCCAGCTGATGTATTTGGTAAGTCATTTTCCAGTTATTTGCTTTCTTACCTTGCTCGTGCGTGATTATTCTGAAGGCACAGAGGCCTTTTATTATCCGCTGTCAAGCCTCTGTGATATTTGAAATGGGGCCTCTTCATGTTCACTATCTTTTATTTAGAACAATTCCCTCATTTATTTGTGTAGTTTAGTTGTAATATAGCAGTAAGGGTTTGACATCGGTGCAGCAGGCGGAGGTGAGCACATACATTTACCAACAAAAGAAAGCTCTAGTAGTTTTGTTTCAACACTCTTTGACACCTTCTGCGCTTTGTCACACATCTGCATTTCCAAATCCTATCCAGCCCACTTGGCTCGAGTGAAATATGTTCCCACGCTGTTTGGATGTTTGTGTGACTCACAGAAACCGAAGCCCGAACACAACAAAGACCAGAGTCACACCAAACAAGAGTCTTCGGAGAAAAGATTTCCCCGGCTTGTTTTGTAAAACATGATAGAATGTGACACAATCCAACCACAACAGAACAGAGAAATAACTGACACAAGAGTTCCTCATGCAGCCCGACCAGCAGATATTAAAGACATCACAGATATAGCTGTATTGTTTTAGAAGTCAGAAATGCTGAAGATATGTGTGAGGTCTCCGTTACATACAGTAGTTTATGCACCATAAAGTTTATCATTCAACTGTTAACTCAAAGATATTTAATTCACAATGATTTAAAACAGAGAAACAGAAAAACCTTCACGTTTGACAAGCTGGAACTCGTCTCCTCTCTCCTTCCGTCCTCCATCTTGAAGGATGTCTCAATTCCTGAAATGCATCTCGAGGGGAGAGAAGAGAGGAGAGGAGCGAGGACGTATGAAAGAGGTGTGACAGTGTTCAGATGATGCAGCTGTGCCACACGTCGGGGTTAATTGACGTCGCTTTAAAATGGCGGCCGGATGTCTCATTTCATTGCCTCGATTCCTCTCTCCTTGTGTCTTCCTCGCCTCCTTCCCACGCATCTCAGGTGGGAGAGACGGAGAGGATCGAGGATGTAGAAAAAGTGAGAAATGAGAAGAGGGATATTTCTTATTCTTAACCACGTTAGCGGCTCTAGGGAGTCTCACAGAGCCGCTAGCGTGGCTTTACACTCTTAGTCCTGTTGCTCTATAAATTACATCAACTATTAATTAAAGCAGCAACAAGGAACTTTCATTTTGTGTTGATGCTGGCAGCTCCTGTGGACTAAAGTGTTTCCACTGCCTCGTTTCATTGATTTCAAGGGGAATCGGATGGCTGGCATTAAGAATAACTACATGGAAATAACCAATATTCTCGCTGATGGTCTGGTGTGTTTATTAAGGTCATATAAAGGCATCAGTATTAAACTGAGACTGTCACATAAAACTCCTAATTTTTCAGTTTCAATTAATCAACCAAGCATTTAAGCAACAGTATATCACGGCGGGACAATACGCTCTGTGTGAGTAGGAAAGCATTGCATAACATACAGTAGGAGAGTATAACATGTTATTTCACAGAATAATGTGTAAACCGGCCTGAACTCTGTCACATTTAGAGAGACTGACAGCTTGGTGCTGTAGGGGGGTGAGGGGGGTGAGGGGGGATATGTCAGTGTTATTGCTTTGCTCTTCCCACTGAGCTGCAAAGAACCACAACTAACCACCAAAACAAGCCCTCTGCTTTTAGAACAAGTAGTTCCAGTCTGATTCATTGTGCTAAAATGAGCCTTATTATGATTGGAAACAAGAGCTTGTTGTTCCTGCCGACAAAGGACTCGATGGCTTCCAGCTTTGAATTGAGCCTTTAAGACTAAATAAACAGGGCCTGGAATTGACCCCAGAGGAACCTCAGATGTGGTCGATCCACTTCGGTCATTCGGGCACTTCCAGCCTGTTATTACTGCACGAGAGGAAACTCCCTCCGCAGTGGAATGAATGTCACGAGGGAAGAAGAGAGGGAGAACGAGATTCAAAGGAGGAAACTAGGAGGAAGGACTTGTGTTGGAATTACATGAATGTTATGAGACGGGGAGGAAGAGAGAGGGAGTTAAATAGAAGGGATAAGGAAGGGAAACCTGCTGCAGTTAATGTGATGAGAGAGTGATGGAGGGAAGATGAAGGAACAGAAAGACTTCCCTTTGCGTCACTCTGAATGTGATTTAAAGATGGAGGGAGAGAGGAGAGAAAAAATGTTATGACAGGGAATTTACTTTTATATATTAAAGGACCAGTGTGTAGGATTTAGTGGCATCTAGTGGTGAAGTTGCAGATTGCAACTAACTGAATACCGCTCACCTTCCAAGCGTGCCAGTCAAATCAAGCAAGAGGCGGGCTGTCTTACTTCACCACTTCCCTCCTGTTGTTGATGCTGTTTTCTTACTGGCTAACCAGTTAGCTGTCGGACCGTGAGAGAGCTACGGGGCAGGAGTGTGGAGGGGGGTAAACCAGGGTAAACCTCTGAAATGAAACCAGAATTAACTCAACTAGAGTTCGACTCTACGCCTTTTTGTAGCGCTTGTTCATTTGACATTTGTTTGAGGGGGGTCATTAGGAATGATTCATTTCCTGAGCTGGCTGTTGAACGATTGGTGTCAGACATTTTGGGCGGCTGTCTGCAGTTCAAGCTGTTCTGTGATCTGATTTCCTACCTGACTGCAGTCTAAAGGTCCGTCACAGGCCGTCACGAGCTTGTTTTAACGTTGCTGCTGTGTTTTACTTGCTGTGTCCACTGTGTGACTCACACTTTGCTGTGATAGAAATAAAACTGATCTTCGCAGTCGGACCATATTGACTGCATCTTCTCAGCCATCTGCGTGTCCAGATTCTCCTTTTCTTCTTCTTGCTCACTGTTCTTAGGAGAATTGCAGGAAGTAACACTGGCTTTGTCTTTTTTTGGTCAACAGTTTTTGAGGAAGCAGCCATCTGTTTGTTGCATTTTATACCCCTCTGTCTCTCCACCATTTCATGTCTGCCTCTGCCGCTTACTGTCTAATAAAGGCAAAAAAGTAATCTTTATTGGAATCGTCAATGAACAAAATCAGTCGGTTATCAGTCCCGTGATCACATGAGTCATGAGCAGACTTCCTGAGTTAAAAGAACATTAATGATGAATAACAACGCAAACTTTAAATAAGATCAATTACAGTGTGGGGAAAATATCTCAAACTACGTCCTCTGACAAGAAAGAGGAAGCAGCATCTTGTATCTTCTAAAATAAGGTCGGAGAAAGTGGAGAAATCTGATACCGACTGCCTGTATGTATACGGAGATTTTTACAGTGTTACAACTGTGCATGTAAACGCATCTGATTTTTGCATAACCTGGTTTCCCGTGGACACAGAAAGAGGGATGGAGGAGAAAGAAACACAAACAAAATGTGAGACTGATGTTTGAATTCTGCGGGAAACCAGAAATTACATTCCCGTCCCTTGAAGAGACTCTCAGCCACCTCTTTCCTCTCTTTATCACTGAGGCGTCCGCCTGGAAAAGTTCAGGGAGAGAGAGACAGAGTTCTCTCCCATCTATCAGCCCGACCACAGAACCCGGCCCTGGATCTCACTGGAGGAATAAAGAACTTTAATTGCATGTTTATGTCTGTCCTGAGGCGCAGACGATGAGATTACCAAATGATCGTCTTAAAGAGCAGAAAGTCTTCCCCAAAACACTTTTGAGAAGAATAAAGGAGCGATTGGCAGTCGGTAATGAAACCATCAGTTGATGAAATTCCAGCTTCTCAATGTGATCAGAGAACATCTTTTGCATTGTTTTAGGCAATTATTGGGTTAACCTTTCAGGCACCAGTAGTGATTTTCATAATTCAGGCATGCAGCTTCATTCAGGACCATTCAGTCCTGCACACAGGCCGTACTGATGCTGGTATAGATGGGACACGGGACAGACCAGCAGATGGCGGTAATGCAACACTTATGGATGCCAACCGCCATGAAAGTTAACAGAAGAGGAAGATGGAGGAAGGCCAGATTTATGTGTACACCAGCCAATTACCACTTACTGAAAACTTGAAAAACTGAGCTTAGCTGCAAACAAAAGAACATTGGCAAGAAGACTGTGATCAAGTCGCAGGGTGTTGTGATTGGCTCGTTCGCTCCATGTCGAAGTCTTTACGTGCGTGTCCCTGCTTTCATTCACAATGCAGCCATACAGGCCTTTTCCCTGAAATGTTTAAAGGCCTTGAGGTGGGATATTGGAGGTACAGATTTCTCTGAATATGGATCCCAGTTCCCATTCACACACGATGCCGGGAATGTTCCTGAACATTTCAGGGCTAGACTGCGAGTGTGAAAGGGTTTTTAGTATTCGTAATAATCTGTCTAACTTCTTGAAATCACGTATAGACAAATATAACCACGTTAAAATAAGACAGGAGCGAGGTTCAGCCACATAGTCTAGTCCACTCCTTTTGTCCAGGCTGACATTCATGGTCCTCAGAGGCTGAACTCTGATTTTGGAGATCCTCAGACTTTTCCTTTAGCGCCACCGTGAGGTTAATATTTGTGGTATTTAGTGAAATCTCTCAACAGCTGTTAGATGGATTGGCATTAACTTTGGTACAGACATTCATGTTCCCCTCAGGATGAATTATAATAACTTTGGTGATACTTTTCATCTAGCAGATTTCAATTGGTCCAATACTCGGAGTGAATGAGTGAATCAGAGTGAATGGAAGAACATTGATACAGTGACTGCATGTGTAACCTCATATTCAGTACTGAGTTTGAATAAAACCGAATCCTCTTGAGAAACATCTCTGTAATTTAGAGTGTGAGTATTTTGTAATCAGATGTCTTTAGATAATTGATAACCCTGCTAATAATGTGTGTTGGATGCCAGCGGTTGTTTGTTTCCAGGCGGTACAGAGCAGAGAAAACTCTTTTAATTCTTTAATGTGGGTTAATGGTTTGTGGGAGGCTCTAACTATTGTTTTGAAGTGATCCAGTGTTTGCACTCTCAGAACAGGCTGTTCCCTCTCGGACTAGAGTTCTGTTTAGTGAATATACGATTTCACAGATAATAATGTCTGTGGTTCACTTTGGTTTGCCCGAAGCTACAAGTCTGCCTCCTCTTTATTCCTCTTTCTGGCTTTCTTACTCACTATGATGCACCAGATTACATTGCTTTAATATCACACAGAGTCTCTTTGCTCACCTTCCACTCAGTCTTTGTCAGTGGAGAAGAAGTGAAATTACTCGTGGCTTCTTTTTATATTGGTTTCTAGTTGTTTTTGTGTGTCTGGGCACTCTTTTTCTGTTTTATGTCACTAGTCTGTTTTGTTCTCTTTTTATGCTAAAGGAAAAGTACGCTCTTTGACAGGCTTTAAATAAGTTTATTATCATTTTATTTTTGTAGTCATTGTTCAAGTAAAAAAGGCCAAATATTCTTTGGTTTTTGCTTTTCAAATGTGAGGAGTTGTTTCTTTTCTTTGTTACACATCGTAGTAAAGTGAATATCTTTGGGTTGTTTAGCTCTGGGGAAATGTGATGGATATTTTTCATGTTTCTCTGAGATTTTTTAGACAAAACAATGAGAATAATAATGATTATAATAATAAACTTTATAAAGTGCCTTTCAAAACCAGAGTTACAAGGTCGTGTACAGCTCAAGCATTAGAAAGTTAAAACAGGAAATAACAATATGAAAAACTATAAAAACTACACAGAGGACAAAAACACATTACAGGATAAAGTGCTTAAGAAACATATTAAACATATACGAGAATAATCTGCAGATTAATTCTTTCTTTCACTTTTGCTTCAGCTTTCCGTTCATCCACTGTGGCACTACCTTTTCTTTGACTTTATGTAATTGTGTGTGTGTGTGTGTGTGTGTGGTGTGTGTGTGTGTGTGTGTGTGTGTGTGTGTGTGTGTGTGTGTGTGTGTGTGTTTCAGGCCGCGGCGACCTCCAGCCTCAGCTGGACAGCGCCATGCAGGACGTCAGTGATAAATACCTGCTGCTGGAGGAGACGGAGAAGCAGGCGGTGAGGAAGGCGCTGGTGGAGGAGAGGAGTCGCTTCTGCTACTTCGTCACCATGCTGAAGCCTGTCGTGGTCAGTCACACGTCCACACGTCCAAACCACTGATTAAAACAGAAAATAAATAACAGCAGCTCTGTGAAATCCTTTGAGAAAACGTCTGCTCCATGTAGTCCTGAAAAGGTTTTTTTTTACAGAGTTTGTAGTTTCCACAGTAATGGAGGGAACGTCTGTGCTGTAGCTCAGTCGGAGAACTCCAGTGGGAGTAGCTGTGGAGTTGTGTTGCTGTACAGTCTGTTTGTTTGTGTGCGTCAGGAGGAGGAGATGTCCATGCTGGGGGAGATCACTCACCTCCAGACTCTGACAGACGACTTGAAGACACTGACTATGGACCCACACAAGCTGCCCGCCTCCAGCGAGCAGGTACTGAACACGTCTCCTCAGCTCTTCTGTTTCTGATGCTGATCTCTGATGGATTGAATGCATCATTTAGAACTGATCCGTTCTAACTCAAGAAGCCTTTTGAGAACCATACTATTAATGTAGTATGCTTCTATATTAACCATACTATACACCACATTTTAAAATACACACCTTTTAATCATTTGTGCCTTATTGTCTCTGTTATTGAATACAAACAGAAATACATTTTAAATCTTACATACTATCAATTAGAACTGAAACTCCCCCCCCCTTTACTGGGCTGTCTGATGGTTTTCCAGAACCTCTTTAAAGACCCAGACTCAAACAAACACACATTCTCTCTCTCTCTCTCTCTCTCTCTCTCTCTCTCTCCAGGTGATCGTAGACCTGAAGGGCTCTGAGTGCACCTGGTCCTACCAAACTCCGCCCTCCTCACCGAGCACATCCAGGAAGTCAAGCATGTGCAGGTTGGTTGCCATGACCACAGCAAACTCCCCAACAAGCCGCTCATCTTTTATCCCTCCTGTACTCTGCTGCCTCCCTGTGGTCCAGAGGTGGAACTGCAGCTGTTAATGGGCTCACCGAATCACTCGTTTGTGATTAGTTTAATAAATAATTCTGATAGATATTAGCTTCTGTAAAAAAGTGTTGTACTGTGATCACAGTGAACTAAATTTGGAATAGTCATCTTTTCTGTTTTAATTAACATTAACCTATCATTTAACTAACATACATTTATAGTACAGGTTTATTCTGGTGGTTGGTTCATGGCAGCTGCAGGGGTTCACAGAGGGTCTGTGTGTTGGTCTGGCTCCCACAAACTGGTCTTGGTCTGCTTGGGTTACAGACTTCTTTCTGAGTTTCACACAGAAAAGAGAACGCTGATTTCTCTTAAATTATCCAAATGAAAAAGAAAATGGAGGTGAGAGTCTGTGCAGTGGCGGAATAACTTTTATTTTATAACTCAGTTGATCAGTTTCTGTGGATAATCCTCCATATGGTGAACAGGTGACGTGTTCTCTGGATTATCTGGAGTAACTTCACTGTTTCTGGAAGAGACTTTTTTTCAATGAACTTCTCAGAACAGATAAGAATCAGTCCACTCTGACGTTTTGTACCTTGAACTGAGCCTCTCCTCCTCTCTGCATCCTACAGCAGCCTGAACAGTGTGAACAGCAGCGACTCCCGCTCCAGCGGCTCACACTGCCACTCCCCAACCTCCCATTTCCGCTACCGTGCCTCCTCCTCCTCTTCCTCCTCGGTGCTCCCCCAGCAGACGCCGGCCCGCCTCTCCTCAGTCTCCTCCCACGACTCTGGCTTCATCTCCCAGGACGCCTTCCAGTCCAAATCCCCTTCACCGATGCCTCCGGAAACCTCGCAGGTAAGGAGCATGAGCGGAGACCGAGCTCAGGGTGAACACCAGAACTGACACACATTGTGCACACACTCTTCCTCTCTGTTACTCTGATCCACTCTTCTTCCACCACTGAGGTCAGACAATCCCTCAGGTTGCTAGGATACGGTGCGTTCATTAGCTCGAAGCTGCAGTGTGTGTGTGTGTGTGTGTGTGTGTTTGCTGAGTCACCTCCGCTGCCACAAGGTCTCATGCAGCCATGCGACATACACTCACTTATTCCCCGCAGGGTTTCCTACGCTGTAGTTCACGGGCAGAGTGGGAAAACACAGGGTCACCCAAATTAGAGCTAGAACTAACAATTATTTCCATGAATCGGTCAATTTAAAAAAATCAATCCTTTCATTTCCCAGAGTCCTTGGCCACAAATTCAAATGTCCTATTTTGTCCGACCGACCCCCTAAAATATTCAGTTACCAACAGAAAATCCTCACATTGCAGAAGTTGGAACCAGAAAATATACTTTTTGCTTTAAAAAAAAGAATAAAATAATAGACCTTTTTCACAGCAGCCATTTTGACATCAAATAATAGGGTACACTTGGGCGTTATCAGTGACACTAATTAAGGTTCTGTTCCACTCAGGTGTCACAGTCAGGGTGCTGCTATTGGGCCTGTAGGCACTAGAAAAGGCTCTGCTACACTAAATTGAATGGAACCTTAATAAGTTGGTAACACTTGTGTTTACCTTACTGTTTCATGAAATGGATGCTGTGAAAAAAGGACTATTGGTTTTCTGGCAATAGACTGATTGTTGCAGCTTTAACTTTAATATGAAGAAGTTACTCTAAAAACACAACAAATGAAAAGATCAAGGAGGACACACGTGAGGCTACTTAACATGAACCTAAATCCTGGAAGCTCGTCTTAAATCCTCCAAATGTAAAAATCATCCTCACACACACTTTTCCACATGGATGGACATCGCAATGCCCCTGCCATATCCTTTAACCATATCCACACTACATGCCCAACTCCAACCCTTATCCAACACCCTGGTCTAAACCTAACCCTAAACCCTAGTCCAACACTAACATCTCATTTCTTATCTTCTGCAAACCAACAATCAGCACAAAGTAACAAAAACATAGAAAATCTGATTTGGCTTTTATTTGGTTTCTCTTTATTGAGACATATTTAAAGTTGTTTATGATGTAGAGCTCTACCGTTAGTTTCTCATTCCACCTGCTGAACCTGCTTCTGCTTCACTGATCACTTCTTCTTCCTTCTGCTGCAACAGCTTCTTCTTCCTCTGTTTGTTGTTCACGCCTTTGCTTACTAATGCCTCTGCCTGGTCAACGATGTGCTGCTTTTATTCACACTGAGATCATGTTTTTATCACTAACACATGACACGCTTACTCTGTTTCTCTCTCTTTGTCTGTTTTCTCGCATCCTGCCAATGGCTTCCTGTTTTTGTGCGTGCGCGCTCTGCATGGCTCTGCTGCAGTCGTGTGTCTCTCCTTTATCCTCTCAGTCTGTCAATGAGGAGTCTTCCTCTTCCTCCTCTTCCTCACCCTCACACAACGAGCCCCGCTCTGGGCTACAACAGGTGAACATCTGCACGTCCAGACACACATGCGTCCGTAAGGGTTTTTTGGGCTCAGTGGAGCCAGCCTCACACACTCTGGTCTGCTGCTGGTGTTGTTGTTGTTGTTGTTGTTTTGTGTTGTGAAGGTGCCACATGGAGCTTTGAAGCATCAGCGCTTTGGGGAAACACTCTGATCCCAGCTCTAGCAGAAGCCGTCATAAAGTCGATCACTTTACACGTATTTGTGTCTATAAACTGTCGCTGAGCTCCTCCTGCTTCATGTAGCGCCTCCACCTCCACTCCTGTGCTTTATGTCTTCATCACAACCGCCATCTTTAATTTCTGAATTGTTTTTCTCATCCACTCACCTTCAGTTGTCAAATGGTTTTGACCATCACGCTGCCCTCTGTCTGCATGGAATGGTACTGCAGGCCCAGGACACCCACCTCCACCCTCCATACTTCACCTACTCCTCCTCCTCCACCACCACCTCTCCCATCTCCTCGCCCTCCTATTCGTCCGTCTCTCCCACGTGGCCGTGGTCTCGCTCAGGCTCCGGCCAGTCAGGGGAGTTCCTGCCTCTCGGCAGCCCCACAGGGCTCGGAGTGATCCCGTCATCCAGAGTCCCGTCCTGGAAGGTTTGATTCTCCTTCTCCCCGATGTCCTCCTCCTCCTCCTCCTCCTCCTCCACTTCTTTTTATCCTTCTTTCATCTTCCACTCTTTTCCCCTTTTCTTTTGATTTGTTTCTGTCCTTTCATCCTTTGCCTGCAGTGTTTCTCTCCTTTTTTAAATTGTGTTTTCTTTCTTTGCTCACTTTGAAAACAAAAACTACAGGAATACATTTCATCAGTCTTTTCTTCATTCATACAGTCAGACCTTAAAACAACACTAACAACACTGCAGACACAAATCTCTCTCTCCCCCCGCTCTGTGTTAACACTGCTCTTCATTATTGGTTTCAATTTCAGAACTGATTAAAAACGTGTGGTCAGATTTTGGCTGCACTTCAGATTCAGGCAGCTGTGTGGTAAAAACAACTGACAGAAAATGAACTGAATCCTAATTTGACTACTGCGCCCAAAAAATCCCAAATATTTGCTGACAGCAGCTTCAAAATGCAAAAGTGTTCTTACTTTTGTTACGGATAGTGTTTGAAAATAAATACTTGTATATACACTAATACAGTATGAAATCCTAGAATCAAAATTGGGCAATACGGTACCAATTTGGGATATTTCTATAAAAGAAATGAATGTAATCATCTAAATAACTGATTAATCAGTAGTGAAACTCTTGGTTTTCCACACAACTTAAACTGTTTATTTAAAAAAATGTTACAATTAATGACAATTTCCCATCAAAGGTGACGAAACCAAACAGTCAAAAAGAATCTTTGATCTGTAAGTGAGAGAAAAGCAGCAGAGTGTAATGCTGCGTTGTTTGGATGATGTCTGTGTAGGACTGGGCCAAACCGGGCCCATATGACCAGTCAATGGTCAACACCCTGAAGAGGAGCAAGGACAGGAGAGACACTACAGATCCCAGCAGCCACCAGGGCGCTGACATCACCACACCAGGGGAGGAAACACATGGGGTTAAAGGAAGTCACCCTATGACCTCACACAAGGTCAGATTTTATATTTGGTTGATTTCAGTGCACGCTGACCACTGAAAGCCAGACAACATGGTCATGTGACTTACTGGCAGCGTTTAGTGTTGTTGTTAGTTAGTGTGTGTGTGTTGACCCCCACAGGAGGACAGGGACGCCCACGAGGAGTTGGCCAGAGCGCTGGCCCGAGGCCTCCAGCTGGACATCCACGGCTCCAGCAGAGACTCACTGCAGGGCTCCAGCGGCTACAGCAGCCAGACCAACACACCCTGCTGCTCCGAGGACACCATCCCCTCACAGGGTACACACACACACACACACACACACACACACACACACACAGGGTACACACACACACACACACACACACACACACACACACACACACACACACACACACACAGGGTACACACACAGGGTACACACACACACAGGGTACACACACACACACACACACACACACACACACACACACACACACACACACACAGGGTACACACACACACACACACACACAGGGTACACACACACACACACACACACAAGGGTACACACACACACACACACACACAGGGTACACACACATACACACACACACAGGGTACACACACATACACACACACAGGGTACACACACACACACACACACACACACAGGGTACACACAGGGTACACACACACACACACACAAGGGTACACACACACACACACACAGGGTACACACAGGGTACACACACACACACAGGGTACACATACACACACACACACACAGGGTACACATACACACACACACACACACAGGGTACACATACACACAGGGTACACACACACACAGGGTACACACACACACAGGGTACACATACACACAGGGTACACACACACACACACACACACACACACACACACACACACACACAGGGTGCTTATTCTATATATTTATAATATACTTTTACATAAAGATGCATGCTGGAAGAAAACTTTAAAAAAAGTTGTTTCCTGCATTAAAGTACACAGTTCAAACAAACAAAGAGCTAATGGAACCATGGCAAAGCATCAGGGAGAAGAAGACACACTCATCTGTGATCAATATCCACAGAAAATAATCTGCTCACAATTCCAAATAGACAGTTGTGCAGTTATTTTCTTCACTATTTGGGTTCATTTTAAAGTTTAACAGTTGTTCTGTACTCTTATTGTTATATATTGAATATAATACTTAATGAGGAGTTTACTCAATGATAGAAACGGGTTCTTTAAGGAAAAAATAAGAAGGCGCACTTTAGACTGTGATAAACTGGTCAGATTTCCTCTTATATTCTGTCTACACAGGAGGCATTCAGGGACAGTAATGAGTTTAGGTCCCCTGCGTTTTGGCAGCGCTCGGAGCCCAACACATAATCACTGTACTGACAGACACAAAACAGAAGAAAAGAATACAAATATGCTTCAAGTTGTTATGAGCCCCGTGTAGACAGCTGTATGGATTCAAATAAAAGCATATCGGTTCTGTCAGACACGAGGGACTGAAACGCCTCCTGTGTGATAAAACTGTTCTGTTCCCGACAGTATCCGACTGCGACTACTACTCTGTGGGGGCGGATCAGGAAGGCGAGCCGCAGCAGTCCTCAGACTTCGATAAATCCTCCACCATCCCCAGAAACAGCGACATCAGTCAGTCGTACCGCCGTATGTTCCAGTCCAAGCGTCCCGCCTCCACTGCTGGACTGCCCTCCAACCCCTCTGCCATAATCACCCCGGGAGTCGCCACCATCCGACGGACACCATCCTCCAAACCCAACCTGCGACGGCCCTCTGGGGGCCTTAGCTTGGGCCCCATCCCCATCAAGCCCCCCATGATCCCAGTCAAGACCCCCACTGTGCCTGAACATCCCGGTTTCCCCAGCAGGGCGGCGTCAGAGGACGGCAAAGCACAGCGAACCCCGCTCAGCCCACCGACCACCCCTTTGTCACCAGGCAGCAGCGGGCCATTATCACAGAGGGCCAGCACCTGGGAGACCCAGCACCAGGGCGAGGGGTCGGATCCTCCCACCCCACCACCGCAGCCCAGTGGCCGGGTGTCAGAGTGGGAGCGCCGGCCTCTCCCGGAGCTCCTGGAGGAAACAGAATATGGCGAGGTGGAGGACTTCCTGGTGGCTATCCGACGAGGCGTCAGGCTCAAGAGGGCGATGACCAACGACCGTTCGGCGCCAAGTATTCACTGAGACTAGAAGGGTTGGTTTGACTTGAGCCATTTTGCGTCCCTGGTTGAATTTCAGCCCAAAAAAGGGACACAAAATGGTTAAGCAAATGCAAACGGGAGCTATAGCGTCTAATGGACGCCGAGGATAGGAGGAAGTTGCCCGGAGTGTCTGAACAAGGATCAGTTTTTAAATTGTTTTAACAAAACTTTGAAGATATTTGATCGTGGTGCCAAAATTTAAATGAAGGTTTCTGAATTCAAAGAAATGTGGGCAGAAGGTAGAAGTTTCTTGTTTGGAAAGTGTTGAAGGAGAATCTAAATCCTGCCAGTAGACACATTTTTCTAGCTTGGGAAACTGACTGAAGCACTTCTCTCCTTTAACAAAAACAACCTGTGGCCTCTTGCAGGTTGCAACTATCAGTATCGCACTTGACTAATTCCAGTTGAGTTCCCCTCTGAGGATACTACTGGGAACGCCGATGCTGATCCGAGATCATTTCCCCCTGGGCAACTTTAGTATATATATATATATATATATATATATATATATATGTGTGTAAGAGAAAAGATGCGAAAGGACATCCTTGTCAAACAAGAGCGAGATGTACAAGGTCATTCTTGTAGCAGAAATTACTTAAATGAAACATTAAGTAAATGTTAATGCGTGTAGTATTGGGATTAAGAGACGGTAGATGACGTGGGGAAAAGTTCTGGAAGAGGTGAGAATGAACTGGAAGGGATGATTTTCGAAAGATCAAATCATTATTTGTATGTACATATTTATATTTTGATGTGTTTGTACGTTTTGTTTGTCATACGGTCCCTTTTACGCCCCTGTAGTCTCCCATTTCCACTAAAGGTGCCAAAAGCCTGTGTGCTGAATTTAACTTAAAAATATAATTTAATTGCTGGATTTTGTTTTCTGTAAAAACATAGCTAGGGTGTTTGATGATAGAGACAGACTGAAAGAACACAAACTGAACAAGTATTTGTATACGTAGGGTAGCATATTGAAGAGTGCCGTGTAACCATTCACAACTAAACCTTTAGTTGTTACAGTTATTAATACCACATACAGTAGATTGACCTGCATGTTCTCTTAAAGTTTGCCCCCCAGTATAAACAAATCATTCTGGCTTTATAAAACAAGTTAAGCCCATAATGTCCCAGCAGTGGATCAACGGTAGCGGGTCAGGAACTGCGGATGCCAACAACTTTGCTAGATTAAGTCTGCTGTATAAAACAATGTCCTGTCTTTGAGTCTTTAAACTGAAAATCGAAAGGTATTATAGGGAGTGTTTGATAGTGGGTCATTTTTGCTCTTTTTGTAATTTATTTTTTTTACAGCATTTATTTTCTTTAAATGGACTCAAAGATGGTGTTATAGCTGTTGTTAATTACTACAGACAGACGTGATCTGTGACTTCGTTGGCCTCCAGGTTCACCAGCCCCTCCGTCCTTTTGTTCAACTTTTCAACATGTTGCTAATCTACCAACTATATAGCGACTGTACACAGTGTGTTAGCGTACACCTCCAAGTCCATGGTAGTAATAGAGGTTGTTACTACAGGTTCCGTGTTACTACTTAGCTATAGTAATTGGAGTAATGTGGAATCGTGTATCGGTCCGTTGTAGTGAAGCCAGTGTGCTGATGGTGAGTTGTATTTAGTTGGCACAGATGTAAACGGTTGTGGACGAGTCAGAGCTTCAGTATTGGGACAGTGTTGCTGCAGACATCTGGATGGTTTTATTTTAATGTACTAAACATTCAGTGGTTCCAGAGTCTCGAATGCAAGCATTTGCTGCCGTTCCTTGTCTTGTATGAGCCTGAATATCTTTAGGTTTTAGACAAACAATCTCATATTCTCTAGACAGTGAGACAATAAGTGGCAGATTAATTGATGATGAGCATATTTTTTAGTATTAACCCTACTACAATGACAACCAAGAGACTGCTAGTTCACTGTCCCAGTACGTAAATGGAAAATGACCCAGAGGCCACTATTAAAGTGTACATTTGGAAAAAGAGAACTGGTATCTGGTCTGGAAAATAGCTTGCTTTAGTCCTAATCTGTCTGTGCTTACTCGCCATCAAATACCAAATGTCCAGTATATAGAGCGTTTTTCAGTTGGTTTAAACACCTTCTGGCAGCCGTGTTGGAGGTCTTTAGCTCTCTAGCGGGATTTCAGCTGATTACATTCCTTAATATGCAATGTGGTCAACAGAATTCAAAGAACATTTCAAGGTTCATGTCATATTTCTGATAGCTAGCCAATTGTTATGTTAAATTCATAAATTGGACACAAGCTAATGTACAACTTTTGGTAGAAGCAAGAACAAATCTAATTTTCTATTTTTTTTGTTTGAGAATGTTACTGAATATTTCTACAGTCACTTAACAACAAGCTACTTAACAAATTTAAATAAATCTCTACTATGTAGTCAAAGATATTGTTCTTTTTTTTGTTAGCAGGCTCAATGTTTGGTAACACTTTATTGGGATAGTCCGCCTCGTGATAGATAAACATTTTATCTGTAGATGTTTGAGACATTATCTGTATAATATTTGTGACAATTGATGAAGATACTCTAACCAAAATGTTGTTTGTGCCACAACCTAACCAGACCTGAACCACAGTGGTGTTGGATCATAAACCAGTTCTAATAATAATAATAATAATAATAATAATAATAATAATAATAATAATAATAAGCAGCTGTTGAAGTAGGCGGACTATCCATATAAAGTATTACTCAGTATCTTGTTTAAAATCATCTAATTTGTCCTCAGCTAATGCAAAATTCAGACACTATCATTGTAGCAGAAGAACAAATCCAATTTATCAGAAAGTTTAACAGTCCAGAAGTTATTAAAGCTAACTTTAGAGAGCCACATCTCCACGATGTAGACAAAGACATTGCTAATTGTTAGCTAAATATCAAATATTTGGTTTAAATTTATCTAATTTGGCTACTAACTAATGTAAAATCAGAAGCTAGCGTTAGAACACATCCAATTTGTCTCAATTTGAATATTTCTGCAGACACTTTGCAGCAAGGTGTCTTCAGCTAGCAGAGAGCTAAATCTCTAATAGACCTCCATTATGGACCCAAACTGAAAATCCTCTTTTAGCTGTGGTTACAACAGAACACAAGCGTATCCCGCTGTGCACTGATATTCATGTACAACTGCAACAAATATATAAACCTGTAATAGCTTGTAATTTCTAAATGTGGAATAGCCCGATGAGCTAAAACTCTAAACGTGTTAGCGGGTAAATTAGCGTGACCAGCTGAAATAGACAGAACTTCCCTGTTGCTACTAAATACTTTAATAGAGTGTCATTAAAAAGTCAAATTATTTATGTATTTATTCATTTCAATGTTTTCATCCTTCTTATTTGTTATTATGTCTAAACTCCCAAATGTCCTGTTGAGCATATAAAACGTATTAACAAATATATTTAATATGCATGTTGTCTTTTTTTTTTTTAGTTGAACATAAGATTTAATAGTCTGCTTTTTTTCTACTGGAACTACTTCCCCCTCAGTTGGTCTGCCTCTACCGGACCAGAATGCATTTTCGATGCTGTCCGTCGTCTAATATTTCCCTACAGGGATCATTAATGTTTCATATTCTGTGTGACAGCAGTTTGACTCCCTGTATGATGACTGAAGCCTGTCTGTTTTATATCTGTTTTCACCCTGTTCATTCTCCAGTGCAGGTTAACGAATACAATCGTGTAGCTGATGCGATAACAAGCGTATGAAGCTGAATGTTCGAGCCTGTGAGGACTCAGTAACTGTGTGTGTTATCAAGATCTGAGTGACGCTAACACACACTGAGGATTGGACGAGTGATTATCAGAAAATCATTATAGTAAATATTACACAATACAAGAAGGTAAAATAATATCACTCTAGAGCCGAGTAAGATCAGAAATCAGCAGTCCTCAGTGTGTGTGGAGGCCATTTTTGTCTCTGAGCTGTAAGTAAGGTCAGCTGTCAGTGTGTCCCCGCACTTTAATGTTCAGTCTTTAATTTGAGACAAGTTGCCAAATTTCCTACAGTATGTGCTAAATGATGCCCTGCTTTTCTTTCTCTTACTTCTGAAATGGTTTCAGAATCTGCCTTTCACAGGTAAATATTACCCATCTTTACATAACACTTTACTCTAAAGTAAGGGAGTAAGTTTAAAGTAGGGAATATATCTCATTTGGAATGAATGTAGCCCTGATCCCGGACTCATACTACATACAGTATCATCTTCCTGGTTGGCCACATTATACATTTCACACTGAATGGTAGGTAAACTGATGGCAGCTGGATGCACAGTAACAAAAACATGATTTTATGACCAAAAAGTGTCTCATTCTGGTTTATATTTGTTAGTTTGCACCCTCCTGACATCATTCTTTTTCACATATTTCCGATCATCTCGTCAGATTGCATTTACAACCTCTTTAACGACTTTTATAAGCCACTGAGTGATTGAAATGTCCAAGTTTTTAAACACTGCCATTCACTACTGTCATACTGTACAGGATTTTATTACAGTTCTGGATCAGGGCGAGAATTAATTCTTTCATTTCTTACATTTCATTACCTACTTTTGCCACAGCGGAGCCAAGACAAATGTTATTAAAATCTGAGAGCCACAGAGAGTTTGGAGTATGATAGCAAAAAAAAAATATTTGAGAATAAGAGGAAGTGCAGTATTAATGCCCCAAAGATCCAAAAAATGTTAATTAAACATGTGCACATGATGCAATTCTCTAGTTAATTGCCCTTCTGATGAAGTTCTAATAAGGTTATTTTTTCCATTTGATCCTCTGTGTGTGTGCGTGTGCGTGTGTGTGTGGCGTGTGGGCCAAAAGGTTGGAAATTTAAATCAGACACCAGGGAAACCTGACTGAATAATCTGCTTTTGGAAGAACTTGCCCTGACCCTGATATTATATAAAATATATAATTATTTATCAATGCAACGGAGACAAACACATAGTCGAATATTCAGCACTAACTATATTAATGACTCATGCTCACATGACGTAAGTGATTAAGTGACTTTTTTTTGTAATTTCTAACTGATATACTAATAAAGTTTTATTTTTTTTTCAATTTGATTTTTTATCAAAAACAGCACATGAATGTAAAATTGTCAACTCAGACAGTGAAATTTCCCACCAGCCTTGAACACATCACAGTTAAAGCTAAGAGGACAGACGGACTTTCCATCTAACTTCAGTCATATTTGCTCCTGAACGTTTGAGTATTCTTGCTGAAAAAACAACCAGAACAACCATAAAACAGTTTTTAAGTGTATAAGAGGGGTACTTTAACTTCATTACCCAGAGGGTATCAGACTTCTCTATTAGTCCTGTCTGTGGTACTAGAAGTAATGGCAACCTGTTATTTTTATTTGTGGGCTGACGGGTTTCTTTACCTCCGGCTCCTGAGAATCCTGTACTTTATGTTTTTATGTTCCTGAATACTAACTGTCTCCTATTTTCTATGTATACCAGCTGTTTTGGCTAAATAATAAAATCGTAGCATACGATGTGCATCCGATGACTAACGACACCTGTGCTTTGTGTTTTCTTACCGTCTACGATACCACGGATATACATATATTACATCACAGTTTCATTTTCTCAGCTGTCACAAGAGTGAAGTAGGAAATATTTAGTCTGTGAGTTTAGGATTGGTAACATTGCTTACTGATCAACTTTGGTCCAATAGCTGAAAGAATGTTTTATTGTCCCTTAATAAAGTTATTTAATACTTAATATGACAAATATTTTCACTGTATTCTTTCTGTTATATTCTATATTAAAACCTGCTGTGAAGTGTATTATCCACTAAATGCATTTAAAGTTACTACTGGGAGTTTCTAACTGGTTATGAAAGAATCTCAGTTTAATACTGAAGCCTCTATATGTCTTACATAAACACACAAGACCACGAGGGAGAAGATTGGCTGTTCTGTGAAGTTATTTTCAACGTCAGCCACCAAGGCAGTGGAGGAGCCGCCAACACAAGATGAAAGTTCCTTGTAGGGACTTTAAGGAATCTAAAGTTTTCTCATTCTGCAGAATGGCTCCTTTCACAATCTTATTATAGACAATTAAAGAATGTTATATTGTAAGTATCACATTATAACAATAGTTTATTGTTGTTGTTTTTTGTCATAATAACGTGAAAATATCTCAATATAACAATATACTTTTATGTGATACTGATGCGTTTTAGTATAGTACTATAGTACATGCATCATATCATATAAACATATTTATTATTTTTTATGTAAAACATAACTAACTAAAGCGGTCAGATGAAAGTAATGGAGTAGAAGTAGCGCAGAATGGAAATACTTCAAACTGCACTTAAGAACAGTACTTGAGTGAATGCACTTACATCCCACCACTGTTCAGCACACAATCTGACCTTGGATCAGAACAACCTCAGCATTCCTCACTCAGGAGCGACTGGAGCTCTACTGCCTTGCTCATGGGCGCTTCAGCTGTCAGCGAGGAAGGAGACAAGACAAGAACAAATCTTCAGAGTGCAGCAGAGCCAGAGGTAAACACTCCCAAATTTATTATCTATTTTAAATTGCACATTATGTTGCAAAATGCATACTGCATAATCCTTCGACATCACTGGTTCTATAGTACATACATGTATCAGTGCGCAACAGCTGCTGCTGCTGTTTCCAGACTGTCCACAAGATGGCAGCACAACACAGACGTCTAGAGATTACATACTTTTGTTCATATGCTTCATATACTCTCATTTGTTTTCTTCAGATAATGAAATTATGCCAAATATCATCGAGAGTGGAGGGAAATAAAAACGTAAAAATCTGCACACCACACAAGCCAGAAGAAAACCAACATCCTCTTAGAAAAAATACACAAACATGAGATGATACAAAAACATACAAGTCGTCCACGGTAATAAACAGCATCCTGAAAACATATCATTTGTTATTACTTAATTAGTGAGAACTTTAAAGACATTATTCAAACAGATGGTGTATTGCTCTCCACGAGAAATCTCTCTTCTAATGAGACAAAAGGAAATTCCCTCGAGGCTTTTACAGTTAATCCAGTCACAAACTTAAATATCTTCTGAAGCCAAGTCCAAACACTCATTAAAATATTGTTTAAACAGTCAAACACCAGTCGGTCTGAACTCGGAGGTTTAGCTGTTTTTCCTAGCCTTTAATTCCCTTTGATTGGAGGACGTGGAAGGATCTGAGCTCAGTGTCCCCGTCCCTGTATAATGAACATTTATCATCATTTGCAGCAAATCTCACAATCTGTTAAAGAGCAGCAGGGTTTAAACCAGCTCAATCAATCTTTATTACAATGTTTTTTGGCAACTTTCTAACTTTTCAAGGCTTGGAAATAAGTTAGTTCTCCTTCCGTTGTATATTATGACCTTTGTAGAAAATAAAGTGTGGAAACCAGTTGTGATATCGGCGGATGTGTGACCCAGGGGCTGCATCAGAAATCACTCCCTCACTCTCTCTCCCCTTTCTAACAGACTCTCCACAGTGTCTCTGTGGTAGAAACGCACTGATAGCGTATAACATCAGAGCGGATACGTTTTTGCAGTTGCAGAGATTTGAAGATGACAAAAGGCACTAATATTTAGAGGTTCCTTTGAGTAAACATTTAATTATTGTAAACCTTTGTGTAACAATGTAACCTTACTTTATTATTTAAATATGAAGGTTAATTAACGGCAGCCATTCTCTCCTTATTCATTAGCTTGTTGTAGGTACAAATCCCTAATCCTGTTGATAAAAGGCAGTAAAGTCCATTTTCTCATTGGAGTCAAATAAAAGCGACATATTGCTGCTGTTAGCTGGAAGAAGTGCTATAAACACTTTCAGTTGCATTATGGGATTGTTTGAGAGCACTATAAAGTAGATAAATGTGAAGAACTCAGACTAGCACAGAAATGTTTAGCTAATTACTTTACAGAAACATTTAAATTTGTGTAACTGAAGCATTTCAAGCAAAAAACATAAAACAATTGTCCAGTTCCAGCTCCCAAAAAAATCTACTATATTACTATATTTCTACTATTTGATTTTAAATTGAACATCTTTGGGTTTGACCTGGTCAAAGTTGTGATGGACATTTCTTTGGACAATTTATAGAACAAACAATTGATAAATGAATCATAATTACCAACAGATTAGTCAGTAATGACAATAATTGTTGCAACCCTAATTTCTGACACTCAAATACGTAGTAAATAGGGAGTGATTCTGGATGCAGCCAGTGATTCAACAGGTGAAAAGGATCAACTGGATTCCCAATAATTACAAAGAAACACCTCGACTATGCTGAAAGCTGGAGTGTGAGAGAGGGAGAAAGAGAGAGAGTCACAGAGATCACTGAAAACTACTGAACTGAACTTGTCATGGCATAAACTGTTTAGGACTCCAGTCCCAACCATCTGGAGCTTCAAGTCTGATGAAACACGAGCTAAAAAACGAATTACACAGACGGCTGGATTTAAGTCAACTGTCTGTGAGAGAGAAAGCAGTGAAAAAGAGAAAAGAAGATGGTGCAGACAGAAAAACACAGAAAGAGCTTGGAAAGCAAACATCAGCGTAAAGTTTTCCAGATAGCGCCTCCTTCGTTCGTTCCCGTACTCAACATCTGAGGACATTCCAGCATATTAAAAACCATCTGATATGGAAATAAAGAGTCTGATTATAGAGCTACATCGGTTCTTCATGCAAAACACCTAAAATATTCCCACCGAGGTAGCAGTGACACTGTTCCTTTCCTTTGTATTTACACAGTTTTTTTTTTGGTAAAAGTTTAAAGATGCACAAGACCCTAACTGCCGGAGTGCAGAGACTGTATATTTGTCTCTGCTCAGTTTCAGCTGAAGTTACAAGAAACATTTGTTGTTTTGACCCACAATAGTGTTTAAATGTATAAAGTATCTGAAAAGACATTCAAGCTGAAATAGTGTTCCAACTGCGTGAACAGTTGGTGAGTACGTACGGTTTGAGTTTCTACTGTCAGGATGGGAAACAACCACCGCTCTCACCTGGAAGTTTCTATACTGCTGGTTGGTAAACAGTGAAATTGGATTTCTGGTCTCCTCTGTGGGAAAGAAGAGGATGTTTAATACCCTGCAGCAGAGGCTGACATTTACAAAGAGGAAGAATCCAAATCACAGCTGTTGTCTGACGGTGTTGAGACGGGTGAGCTCTTCCCATCCTGGGAGCTACTCAGGCAGCGTTCACAACAGGCATCTGTGCAGTCTCACAGCCTAAGATGGAAGTTCAAGACTGGTTTCAACTGGCAACCAAATCGCCTCATTTATAAGAATAATTTAGCCTCAACGCCATCGATTCCTCTAATTAACAACCGAGGTCTGAGCCGTAGCAGAAGATGTTTAAATGTGGCCAAATCTTTGAGAACTAGATGGTTGAAAACATGCAAAATACTGATTATAGGCAAGAGTGGCAAAAGCACCAGCAAGGTTATGCTTCAATTAGGGTTGTACCAACTATTTCCCCTCGTCTGGCCTGTAACGGGGGGCTGATAGCGATCCAGCTTATCAGATCGGTGCAGCTCTTCTATTTGCTGCAACATGTGTAATGAAAGGATTAAACTGTCTGTCAAACAAGTGGCTTCATTTCTGGGTCTGACAGAGCTCTGCTTGAAATCAAGAGTACTTATAGTTGTTGTGAACAGCCACACTTGAAGGCGGCTGTAATAGAGACGGAGGAGACGTGATATTGTTAAAACATGGAGTCTCTCCTGGAAGGCATTCTGATGAGGATGAGTATAGTAAGTACAGAGATGCTGGAAGTCCAGGATTAAATGAGTCTTGCTTAAAAGGTCCTGTGTGTAGCATTTAGGAGGATCTGTAAGCAGAAATGGGATTTAGTATTAATAGGTATGTTTTCATTAGTGTATAATCACCTGAATAGAAGACTTGTTGTGTTTTTGTTACATTAGTTTATAATTTGTTCTTGTCGCCGCAGCCTTACTTGGTCTGGTATGACCAATGGTGGCTAATTGTAGCTCATGTTAAAAAACTTAACATATATATTCATGGATATTAAAGCTTTATAGATTAACTTTACTTCATTATTAGTGTTTTAAACTCGATTTATTTTTCATCCATTTGTCAGGTTTTAGTTGTTCAGGGACCATCGGAGCAACTGTTGAGCTAACCCTGGCCACATTACACTGATGCACCTCAGTGTAGATTCAGGTGCATTGCTCCTTCTAAATGAACAATATTAATAGATTCTGCTGTGTAACTGACATGATTGAGTCAGTTTGCAAACTTTATTAACCGTTCCTTACTTGTGCTAACGGTAAATGACGTGTGGAAATGTCAGATAAACATCTCAATGATAAAACGAGAAGCAAACAGAATGATTGGATGATAAAATCATAACTGATGAGATTCCTCCTGCGCCCCATCCCTCGACAAAAATTTTAATGAGACCTCCAATTAAACTGACATATTGAATTAACAGACGGCGTGTCTTGATGGAGCAGACAGTGTGAAAATACCACCGCTCGGTGCTTCAGAGGAAGCGATGGAGCTAAATATCATCATCAGCCAGTGAAGTTTACACAGACGGCTGTAGAGGGTTTGGAGACTGAGGGAGTGTGAACGCTGCCTGAGCACGAGGACAGAGAAACATCCAAACGGCAAATACTTAGTTTTTGACATCAGCAGTATCCAGTCTGTAGGTGTCACTGTGTTGTGTAGCTGTAATAGCTTGTTAGGAAGAATGTGACGCTGTGTCACTGGAGGTTTCTGCTTCTTTCTCCTTATCGTCATCGTCGCCCAGAAAAAACAGCGGGAACATCCCCAGAATACAGCCGATGGACACTCCGATGGCTTTACCCTGCAGGAGGAGGAGAGGAAATCAAATCATTGTGTTCTGGGTAATAAAGCAACGGCTGCAGTCAGGTTGGGTAAGAGCAGCCTGTTAGGGTCCTGGATGGCGGTGATACAGAGGAGACACAAAACCTTCTGAAACATATTTTGGAATGATGCTGGAACGAGGGTTTTGGTGTGTTTTCTGAGGCTAAATGCATATTTCAGATGACACTGGGATAGTTTTAGCTCATGAGTTGCAGGTGCTGCATCCTTTTAAGCTGTTATATCCAGATCTGCTTTTCATACATTTGATGTTACAGCACTTTATGCAGGCTGCTGATAATGACCATCTCTGCTTCCTTTGATTGGATTCTCATTATTATACATTTTCTCTGATGTGCCTCCTCCAACAGCAGCTTCCTGCTGCAGTTTCCTGTAGTTTCATGCCTATGGAATATGGCTGAAGGCTGCTTGTTGTTAATGGTATGTGTTAACTGCTACTGGCACAGGATAAAACAAATGAAAGCACCCTGGTTGCCTAGAGGGCACCGACTACAAACTGCAACATCAGCTGGGGACCGATGTTGTCATTTGCCATCTCTCTCCTATTGGCTATATAATAAAAAGAAATGAAATGCTCAGAAAAGATTAAAATCTCACCATGTGAGAGCTGACCCTGGTCTGCCACATGTCCGCCTGTTTGGGCGTCAGATCGGGACCCTGCATCCCCAGTTTGGAAGCCAGAGCCTCCACATAACCTGCAAGACTACATGCACATGTGTGTTAATAGATTTTAGTGCTATATTAACAATCACTTACCATCCCATTGCGTATGCCTGTTTACTTTATCTAACTTTCCTAATCAAAAAATTATAACTTAACAAATGTATTCAGTTTGAATGTACAAAACAAACTGTAGCTCATAAGAATAAAAGGAAACACACCAAAATATACTAATAAGCATGTATGAGTAAACTACAGGAAGCAAAAAATACCAGACAAATAAACTTTCACTATTTCAATTTAAAAATGCAGCAAACACTGACTGTACCGTGAACTGTTCTAACCTTCACCTGTCTTCAATAGACTTCACACATCTTCCTCAAAATAAAAGCTGACCCCTCAGAATAAAACTGAAGCCTTAGAGACCGTTTATAAAGCTGCTTACCCGAGACCTGCCAAATCTGAAACCAGGTTCCCCAGAGCCGCCGCTGCAAAAACACAAAGAGGGAAACACTTTGATTTCTGCCTGTTTTCTGATGAAACCCACACAGTGACGGAGAGAAAATGCAACACATCTAATGAAGGATTTTATTGGTTTTTAAGTGTTCTAACAATAATTTGGAAATTGATTTACAGCACATTTTAATGACTTTTTTTAGGGTTTAGTTTGAAATTCAAGCACTCAAATTGGCACATTTTGGGGGAAATTTAAAATAATAATTAAAAGAGCCAAGGCTTCTCAGGTGATTTTCCGAATCGCAGAATCTCACAGGAACTTAAAGTTCAATACAGACTGAATCTAAACTCCTGTCAGACAATCTTTTGCAACCATCTGCTTTTGATCATTTTCATTTTCCTCTGAACCTCCGAAGGAAATCCACACTTAACTGGGACGGTTAAAATCTGACAGATAGAAGCTCACAGAGCTGTCAGCCACCATGCCAGTTTAATCCACTGGAGTCCCCCGACACCTTTCCGACGTTGGAGCTGGTGTCGGCTTGTATCCGACAAGTTCTGTAACTTTCACAGCCACTTCATGCACAGACTGACCAGGTGTGCGGAGATGAAGAAGTAAGCAGAGTTTGAACTTCTCTCTTGAGCTAATTTTTAACTTAATTACTTCCATCAATTTTCATGTGTACGACTGAATGAAACGCCAAGGATGCCTTCGAGGACAGATGGTCCAAAGTGTGCACTTCCTGTTTGAACAAGTCAACTTCAAAACGGCTTCTCACCTCTCACTGTTCCCCCCTTTTCTTGCCTTCAGACGTGGTTGGACGACATTATATGAACTAGTTCATTTCAAGCATACTGTCGCTATGTTGAGGAGCTCAGACATCCCAAATGAGCTTGGTGTAAAACTGCTGTGGGGCGAAATGATTCAGACATTTGCCGCTTCCCTTTAAAGGTTTTCTGAAAGCCACAGAATCTCCCAGGCTGAGCTGGAGGCCACTGGAGTGAAAGATCCCTGGGCTACCTTGGTTATCCCTGTGCCACTGCATCGTGGACTCGGATAAACGTTGGAAAACAGATGGATGGAGTTAAAATCCAACGAGACAAAAACTTGTTGTTGAGGCTGTAATCCATCTTTAGAGCCTTTGTCGTCCCTCCAACACGATAAGAAAACTTAAGAAACTCACCCACACATGAAAACCACAATGAATAAGTGAATATCCGGAAACCCTACAGTGCCAAGTGGCCCACATACATCTCTGTATATTCAAAAAGATGAAAAGCAGAGTCAAAACAATAGATCAAAGCAGCAAAATACAAGATGAGAGTCAGTAGGAGTGAGAGAAGGTGTGAAAGTTTTTCGCAGATCAAAGAGCACCTTTGGAAAACCACCAAGACACTAGTCAGCTTCTTTCTCCATCTGCCTTCATGCTTTTACTGTCAGCGAAAACAGCTTCATAACAATTTCAGTTAATGTACTCCATCAACAATACTTGGCAGCTATGAATAATTCACACATGGGTTGGATTTTCACAGTGGTTTGCTGACAGTGTGGTAGAAAATATATATGTGTTCATGGCCATTAAAACTGTAAAGGTGCTAAGGGTGTGTTTGTTTTGCCTTTAGCAGATCTCTAGAGGCATTAAAAGCGACGATGCTTGAAGCTGATGCTTGAATTTCCTGCGGGAACGAAAACTCCAGATGGACGCTTCAATCAGACTTTCCTTCAAAAGGAAAAACACTTATGTTGGAGATGGAGAAATGAGACAGCGATATAATCTTGCCTCATTTCACCAGCACCTCTGACACTGATTGTGTGTGACAGTGAAGGGCTGGGTGATCAAACAGGAGTCAGCAATAAAAGCTAGAAAAGGTCTCCACTCAAGTAAAAAAAATAAAAATATGGAATCAGTAATTAGCGGAGCTTCTGTGCAGGATGGATGATGATGAAACAAATATAAAGCACCGCCTGGATGGATAAAGGCGTCAGAGCAGAGCTATTGATCTAGAGCCCGTCTTCAGCCTCTGATTTGCACTTTGCAGAGGAAATTGGAGCCAAGTATCCATGGAAACGGAATAATCTAGTGGTGAACAGAAGAGGCGAGCTCCAGTGCCTTTATGGTTTTCACAACATAATAAAGACCCCAACTGAGACCCAGAGCAGCAGCCACGATGAGAGGAGGCAGTGTTGCAATAAACTGCAACAACATCCAGAACAACGGACGAGTTTAAAAAAGATATTTCGGTGCAATTTTATACAGATGGTGGCATCATATGAGCTATATGAGTAATAAAAGTCCTCCAGGTGATGGCTGATGGAAGAGGGGGCACAGCTTTCAGACACTAGAGAGGCTTCCAGCCTGAATAAAAGCACCTGTGAGGTTGAGTAAAGTTATCGACGACTCACCCCACTTGGTCCAATGACTCAGTAGTTGAACTGGGGAGCCAAAGGCAAGGCACGGGCCGCTGCACGTCATCCACAGCTCTCCTTTCCCACATAACCTCCTGCTTGTTTCTCTGTCTTATTATAAGGCTCCTTAAATAAAGGATTTAGAAATACTGACTTCATGGTTCTCGTTCCTAAAAGGTTAATCATAGTTTCCATCTGAGGTTTGGATTTAATCTGAGTTTTACATGATTCAGAATAAACTTTATTGGGTCTTTTTAAAGTTGTATTTCCATATTTGGATTAAGTTCAGTTTATATGATGTTGATGAATCCTCTTCATTAGACTTTTTTCAGGTAACAAGGTCTTTTATAAAGAACACCCTCATCACCTCCTTTGTGGCCGTATGAGAGAAACTAGCGTGAGTCCCAAATTATAACCAATGAATTCAGTTCAGTGTGGGTTGAAGGCTTTCCTTCAAATATTACTTCCTGGGAAGTCTGATCTTAAAACAAAGAACTGCAGATCATTAGTTAACATTTTTGATTAAAAATGATGAGATCATTTTTTAGTAAAACAGTTACCATTTTAGAAAAATGCCAACCATACAGAACTGTTGGATCTTAGCAGCTTTAAAATGTCTGAGTGGTTATTGTGGGTAGTGTTGAAATGAGGTCATTGCATACAATAGTGTTTAACATGCAAACACACACACGCTTATTTCTACAGGTTGTTCAAGAATCTGTTATGAAACAATTTCTTGGTATTCTTATTGTTTCCAATTCCAAAGGATGACGTTACCATCCAATAAATATTTGTAAGTAAATGTTTGAGCTTCAGCTTAAAAAATAAAGAAAATTAGAGTGTTGTCATTTTTGTAACAGCTGTAAAAACGGCACTTAATTTCATTATCCAGGAATCTCTTCATTAATCATTAGGACTATAAAATGCAATTAATTAAATTCCTAGCATAATTTCCGAGAGCTTAATAAGACGTCTTCACATTGCTCGTTTCGTCCAACGTACAGTCAAAAAATATGCAGTTTAAAATGAATGAACCAGAGAATGTCCAATAGTGAGTCCTCGCAGTGTCTCACCCTGCAGAACTGTGTAGTCTCTGCTTTAACTCACATCATTAGCATGCAACCACTTCCTTCTCTCCTCATTCGGCATTCTTAGTGTCCGGGATAAAGCTTGGTGGCTAAGACCACTGGGACTCGAAAGAGTACTCGAGTGAGAATCACTGGTGTTTCATCAATTAGCCCAAGTCACTTTGGGCTTTCAATAATATTCTTATGTACATATATTATCATATACTCAATTCACAATGTTATAAAGCAGCAATAAGAAGCAAATCATTGTATTTCAGAAGACGGGGCTCAATAAATGACTTCATGATTATCCAATAAAAGCTGTTGATGCTTAATTCTCTTTTGATGAACTGATCAATTCATTGTAAATTGAATTAGAGAATTAGCCAACAGGAGGAAAAAGTCAATTTAGAGCTCACTGTGACTCGACTACAGACTGCCTGCTACGATTCTTTGTGTTCTTACCAGCCATGGTGGAGATCCCCAGAGTGACTCCGATAGAGAGTTCAATCTGCGTTCCCTGGAGAAATAGAAGAGAATACGGTGAGATGTTCATCCAGACTCAGTGTTATAAGAGGAACAACCAGACAGAAGAAAATTCCATCTTTAATGAAAACTTGTCCAGATTCTATTTCACAAAATCCCTGTTTTTCTTTCAGGCATGTAATTACAGTCAAATTAAAAACTTAATCACTGTGTAAATGAACTCACTTACCGCTGCGATCATGATGGCATTATCGAGGAAGCCAAATCCAACAAAGGGAAGGGCATTGTGGAACAAAACTGCAAATACACAGATAGAAGTAAATAAACAACACTGGGAGGATTACCAGATAATCTGACATTTAAATTTCTGTTTGTTTGCGTCCTGCACTCTGCAGTCAGTGAACCGCAGAGCACATTCATCAACCCGGCTGGTAAATGAATAAATTAAAACACAGCAACATTTGTTTTCTTTAAATGTGTTCTTATGTGATTTTATTTTCAAATCAAGAAGATGGCACGCTAAAAAGTTTTGGTACAATTTAAATCAATATAGAAGAGCTGAAAGTTGAGTTTTGGAGTTCTTGAAGTCTTAACGTTTTAATAAAGATCAACATACTGTCTTTGATATTGTATATATATATTATATTGTTGCTGCTGCATTATGGTACTGATGCTGTGCTGTCTCCTGTTGCTTTGCGTGGCTTATATTCTGTCTTGAAGCAGTTCTTGTTTTGCTGTTGTTGCTGCTGTCTCTGTGTTGTCTTGTTGTCTTCATTATGTACATTTTGTCACTTTATTGGTTTCAAAAACATCTCGCTAAAAGGACTGCAGGTGAAAATTAGCCAGCTGGCTAACAATTCTGTTGTTCTAAAAAATGAAAGAGTGCTGAAGAATGTGTGCAAATACATGCCAACGTAAAGGGTCCATTACAAATTACTTTAAAAACATTAATAATTCCCCACTCTCATTTTGAAATCCATAGTGATGGTCCAGGAGCTTTACTTTACAAGGAAGCCCTCAGTTTATAAATCCATGCACAAGTTTACTTATCCATGTGCAAAGTCTAGCTATCTGTTCTCTTGGTCTACTGTATAATGACCCCCGGTGGGCTCCGTAGTTTCCCCACTGTGGATAAATATTGTCTTTTCTTGTGAGTTCAGATGATGTGGAGTCTGATTACGAGGTCAGTTATTGAACCGAGGTTACCTCTGATGTTCAGACTTCACAGAACAAACTGTTATTTGATGGAATGACAGACAAGAAAAATCAACAAAGCGAATTACAGCCAGTCGGGAACACAAACAGCTTTGATTTCCACCATAAAGGCAGAAAATGGTCAACAACTCAAAGTATTTATTAAAAAAGTGATCTGTCTTCAAGCCAGAACTGCCATCATCACAGAAACACTGATGGAGGAATTTCATGTTGCAATTTTTTCCAAAAATACTGAGGATTAGTGTGTGTGTGTGTGTGTGTGTGTGTGTGTGTGTGTGTGTCAGATTTAATCTCTCACCATATCTGATCTGGGCTGCAGTCGGCGGCGATGGCTCCAGGGTCTCTGTGAAGATAAAAACACATCAAACGTTCGCTCATTAACTGCTGCTTTGACTTTAAGCATCTGCAGCAACATGGAGACGCAGTTTGCTCATCACGACTCATCATCACAGTCGCTTCTGTTCCAGGATCGGCGCTTTCAGCCGACACGCCGCCGTAACTTCTGACAGAGCAACAGCGGAGCTCTTCACCCTCTCCACTGGCCCGGTATCAGACAGAACTGTCAACTCGTTACCCTCCATTTCCACAGAATCAGTCAACTCGGGTGCAGTGGCCGCGCCCGCCTACACAAACACACTGTTGTGTAATGGTAGAAATCAGCACCAGAATCCCTCACCAGCTCCACCAAAACCCGGACAGTAACAACGTGCTGGTGGGGATGTAACGATACACTCAACTCACAATTCACGATACTAGTTTTTGCATGATTTTATCACAACTGAAAGAGATTCCTTTATTCCTCGGAGACCTTTCTGAGGTAGGGTACCACCTGTGTAAAACAATGCATATGTCCTTTTCTTTGTAAACGTTAAGCGGATGTCTTCAGGCCTTGATACCGCGGTTCATTTTTTATCCCACCGATTTGAATCTTCACGTAATTGTATCGCGATTTATATTATTTTCTATTTATCTTTATAGTCCTACATGCTGGGCTCAGCACCTTTGATACATGTCATTTATTGTCACACACCATTAATTATTAAATGAAGAGAAAATGCCTCAGTGAATGTATATACATATATACATTGTCTGTTTATAAAATACACTACCTTCCTCCTATCCCACCTGGGACTAACCCCGCCCGCCCCTCGCACATTAAGACTCTTAAATCATTTATCATCATTACTGCTGGACATTGACCCTTTGACTCTACCTCTTCACTCACTGCTGCTGTTAATGTATTGTCACTGTTGTATCTAGGGCTGCAACTAACGATGATTTTCATTCATCGATTAATCGGTCGATCATTTTCTTGGTCCATGGTGAATGCTGAGAAATGCTCATCACTGTTTCCCCAAGAGCAAATATTCACATATGAGAACCTGAAAACAAAGCATTTGACCAATTTTCTTTAAAAGAAATGAAAAGACTCAAAACAATTAATCAATTATCAAAATAGTGATTAATTTAATAGTTGACAACTAGTCAATTAATCAACTGATCACTGCAGCTCTAGTTGTATCTTCGGCACATGGTCACTGTTGGTCTATAATGTATTGTCTTGTCTCTATTGTGTGTTATTGTTTAGCAGTCCGACCACAACTTCACTGTTTTGGTTCCCTCTCGCCGCTCTCACTCGTTGTTTCCACAATAGGGAGATATTCAGCAGCAAACAGCAGACAGAACATAGCGGTGGCAGCTAGAGAGCCACATATTTCTCCCAGGAGCTGCTGAATGTGTAAGTAAGCAACTTTCCCATAACAACTTATAATGGTAATGCTAACTCATAATGCTTAAACACACAAATACATCAAATAAATATCATTCTGGATAAAAAGTGGAAAGTTATACCTTCTTACACTACCATACAGAGCCAGGTAAGAGTGCAGTTCAGGGTAAAGGACGGGAGTGCATGTGTGTATTACAAGAAGAGACTTCGTAATCCAGGTCCGTCTACTGTCTGATTTAATTGGTCAGAGACGTGGACAAGCAGCAGACTTGAGCTGGTGTGTGTGTAGCACGCTGGGGAGACACTGAGCTCACTTGAGAGAAGTGGGTCACTGGAGCAGAGTGCATTCAGAGCCAGAGACCAATTACAGGAACAGGTCAATTATAGCAAAAGATTAATCTGCTGAATCCTTCACTGTCTGACCTCACTGTGTGTCTGTGCATTTAAAAAGTCTCGCACAACTTTCACCAACTTTTCTGGCAAGTTTGGGGAAAATACACGCAGAGGCATACAGAAATAGTGTGTGTGTGTGTGTGTGTGTGTGTGTGTGTGTGTGTGTGTGTGTGTGTGTGTGTGTGTGTGTGTGTGTGTACACGGCTGCATAAAAAGGAAGCCAGAAGCCAGACTCATCTTTCAAAACAAACAGGCAGCAGCACCGTGGACAGAATCACACCTCTCTGAACGACCGGTGGAAAAGGTCAGCCTCTATTTCAGTACACAGGGTCGAGGGCTCCTTCCACCCTCGGGTCTCCTGCTCTCCACTGACTGCAGCACCTGGTTCAACATGACAGCACCTGTTACTTTTATTACTTTACCTACCACATCAATGAGTCAGTTGTGGAAGTGGAACAAGGACCTCCAAATCCTGCCTGATTGTATCGCAATGTGAACTCTCAAAGTTTCTTTCTTGCCATTAAAGAGAAAAGCATTCAGATCAACAGTTTAAGCGTCCTTCCTTCTGCCAGAGCCCGGCGATCAGAGAGTGATGTGTTGTTACATTCACACGAGGATCTGATGCTTCCTTCTGCTTCCTGATAGCATGCTCAATAAGCTAAAGTTGCCAGGCAACAAATTCCACTCCAGTCAGTGAGCAGCATCGCTTAGCAACAACATTCATCCAGGAAGTGAAAAAGGGACTCGTTGGAGATGGCGGCCATAATATAATTAAATATGTGGCCACATTAAATAAATAGGAGTGAAGGAGTTAAAAATAGAGTTAATCCCAGTTCAGTTGTAATTTGATTGATCAACTGGTCGGCTGAAATGAAATAAAATGAAAAGCTATTTGCTATTTTTTAACCAACTGATCACAGTTTGAATCAGTTTGAAATATTTGTAAACTATTTATAGTTCACAAATAATAATAATAATTTGTGTCAGCGTTTATGGGCTCCATTAGTCTTAAAATCTAATCTAAACCCCTAAAATATTGTACTGAATTTATATTATGATATAATGTATCATATATGAAATGTTATTTTGTAAAAAGGATGTGGGAGCGACAAACAAATCTCTCAGGAAACCTTCAGTCTTGGTGGAAAAGATTCTCCATGTAAACAAGCAACCAAGAGGTCGAGTGAATGCAGCATCAAAATCACACCGTCCTCATCTACAAAGTCTGCATAAATGTGCTCCCACTGTAACCATCAAAGAAAATATACTCCTCTACTCTTCGTCCCTACCGAAGCGTTCTTCCATGACAAGAGTTAGGGAAGGTGTACATCATATATTAACGTTGTCCCTTACTTGTATGGTGTAACTGTGTGTCTAAGCTACACAACGTTCACACAGCTCGTCTAACAACCTGCTGGTGGAGTTGATATTCTCCCTACACCATGAAATCCACTCAGATGTATCATCAGAATTACTACACATGGTGCTCTGATAGTTAACTGTGAAATATTGATCCATGATTCTTTGAAGATTTAATATTTAAATATCTATCTATATATACACAGACACATTGTTCACACTTCATAAAAGTTATACTATACTACTTGTTTGTTACTTTGCTGAAAAAAAATATTGCAAATAATTTCATTGTGCAATGCAGAGCAGAGCTAAAATCGAGGAATATACCTTCACTTTAGATTAATGTCCACATAAAAAGGCATTTCTGTCTAATGGAAGTCAGCTGAATCTAAATGAGAGGATCTGAGTGCTGCATCATTGCACAGCTGCTGCTTTTCATACATTAACCATGATTTATTGCATTAATGTGCTTATTATACATATGTAAACCAAAACAAATGTAGGTCTGCCTCACTCTTCACAAGCTCTCTGGAATTTTCTTCATGCAAACATTTGACCAGCTTATACATTATTAATTGAACTTACTGAGAGAACCACACCAGTTTATTCTCTGAATCAATACAGCTATCTTCTTAAATCAACATAGATCCTGAGTCTAATTATAAAGCACTAATTGATCTCCACAGGGGCCAAATCCTTATACAACCTCTGTCAGTTTTTAGAGCTGGACAGGTCCAATAAGAGCAGACCTTAAATCTCAGAGCTGGACAATTAACCTCTGACACATTCATCAAACTGCTGGTACATTCAGCTCATTAAACCTTCTTTCCCTCTGAAAAGCCGGGCTAAGATCTTAACCGCTCACACCACATTACCTTTTATTTGTTGTTGGTAATAAACAACTTTCCTTCATCAGGAAAGGGATGCATGTATTCAGTGTCAGCGGCCCAGATGGCATCAGCAGAGCTCAAACATTATTTGTCTCTACATGTACGGCATGTTGGTCCAGACTGAAGCTGCGCCACAACTCCTAAATGCATTGCCATAAATTCATTTTAATGAATTATTTGTTCATGTACAATCTACACCTGCTCTATATGAGAAGTTCTGTCATGATTCTGGCTACCACCTCTGTTGATCCCCAAACTACAAATCACAGTCAAACTGTATTTCTGTCACTCAGAGGTCAAATCAAAGGAAGATTGTAGAAACTATGAACTCAGCGGGCGGTATAAAACCTTGTAAGTATTTTTGTCAGAGGAGAGTAAAGCACCATGTTGTAGTGAGACAGGACTTTTCCACTCAGAGCATCGGTGGTTCAATCCCTGGATCGGCGGAATAAAATTTAGGAGGGTAAAGTGAGAGAAGTTATGGGATAGAAAGTCACCTGGAGGACACCACTGCGCTGCCAAATGGTGCTGCTTTTATGTTTATCTACTGACAGTACACTTCTGATAATAATAATCTAAAATGGGCACTGTACTTGGATAATCCTTTCCCCTGGCACCTCTCACACCAAACTTTCCCTACTAGTGGCGAGGATGTAAGCGCAACCTTGTCACTAATGAGCGGTAGAGCCTCACAGGGCCGCTGGAGTGGCTGTTGACTTTTCTTCTTGTTGAGAGAAGAATATTCATTTCAAATGCGCTGCTGAAAATATCAGGACACGCGCTGGGAATAACCCATTTTCACCCCTTCTGATTTTGACTTCCTAATGACTGCGGTGTGAGTACAAACAGCCTGACTCCTGGGAAAACGTGTACAGAAATAGGTCCGACTGACGCAGGCAAAGAATTAATATCACTGCACAATCTGCCGATAGCAGCAGATTTGGAGTCAGATGAGTAAATGGTGAAGAGTTG